CCAACCACAACAACTAAGTCACACCTCTTAATTTAGAATAAAACCAATCAAAACAACTAAGTCACACCTCTTGATTTACAATAAAACCAATCAAAACAACTAAGTCACACCTCTTGATGTACAATAAAACCAATCAAAACAACTAAGTCATACTAAGTCACACCTCTTGATTTACAATAAAACCAATCAAAACAACTAAGTCACACCTTTTGATTTACAATAAAATCAAACACAACAACTAAGTCACACCTCTTAATTTAGAATAAAACCAACCAAAACAACTAAGTCACACCTCTTGATTTACAATAAAACCAATCAAAACAAAAAAGTCACACCTCTTAATTTAGAATAAAACCAACCAAAACAACTAAGTCACACCTCTTGATTTACAATACAACCAACCAAAACAACTAAGTCACACCTCTTAATTTAGAATAAAACCAACAAAAACAACTAAGTCACACCTCTTGATTTACAATAAAACCAATCAAAACAACTAAGTCACACCTCTTAATTTAGAATAAAACCAACAAACACAACTAAGTCACACCTCTTGATTTACAATAAAACCAACCAAAACAACTAAAACACACCTCTTGATTTACAATAAAACCAACCAAAACGACTAAGTCACACCTCTTGATTTACAATAAAAGCAAATCAAAACAACTAAGTCACACCTCTTAATTTAGAATAAAACCAACCAAAACAACTAAGTCACACCTCTTGATTTACAATAAAACTACCAACCAAAACAACTAAAACACACCTCTTGATTTACAATAAAACCAACCAAAACGACTAAGTCACACCTCTTGATTTACAATAAAACCAATCAAAACAACTAAGTTGTTTTGATTGTAAAACCATGCAAAACCTCTTCATCGGCGACCTCGTCCCAAGTCTCCAACGCTCCACGCGTGGAGCGTCGTACCGGGTCGGTGTGCCATGTCCCCAAGCGACCTCCTTTGCCTCAGAGTCCAGAAAGAGTCCACGAGAAACGTTACTGTCGCAGTTTCGCGTGGTGCGTTCCGCAGCCCGGCGAGCCGAGAAACATAAACATTTATACTACCCGACGTGGTAAATTACCCCATCGCCATCGCACATGAACTTGACCCACCCCCATGGCACACCGCTTACCCCACGAATGTAAGAACTTACCAGTAATTGTTGTATATTTTGTGTCCAATTTGCGGGTGGTGTTTTTCCAAGTTTCTCTTCAGAGCGTCCACAGGTCCAGCTTTTTGGATTGCAGCTTCGTAGCCTCAGACACCGAAGCAACACGTGTACAAAATTGTACGAATGCAACATGTGACCAGTTCACATGATGGCAAGGGTATGTCTCAAGTTCAAGGGATCATTTCACTGGATTTCAACGGGCTTCGAAAAACCACGCGTGTTCTCGGTCCGGGGATGTCCGGGGACTCCCCAAAATTTGGAGGACAAGCCTCTCTTCCGAGGGGTCAACAGATGAAAAAAAGACCTCAAAACATCGGGAGCTGCAGCCATCCTGGTCAGTCGACGACATCTTCGGTCGGAAGGAAAACACGACACTCGGACCGCCCCAGTTGGAGTCCGAACTCGGACCTTAAGCCCCGCTTTTGGGATGGAGCGTTGTTGGACGTCACGATGAATCAATAATTGGATTCGGCATATTTACAACACCCAGACACTCCGTGTGTGGCATATTATATATGCCTACATTGACCCCTTTTCAACATTTTTCAACCACCCCAATGATCCCCAATGCCAATGTATGTTAAATATGTAAATATGCCATACATGGAGTGCCTGGGATATTGACGCCTAGGCTGTTTCATCCTCTTTCATCCCTTTTCAACTGCACCAGGCAAATATGCCAGTCCCATCCAGTCATCATGAAGTCGTGTCGGGGAGCGAAAAGGTCTGCGACAATCCTCGAGCAGCAAAAAGGTCCCCACTATTCCCCACTTCTGCCCGTTTTTTGGGAATCGATGCCGCTTGCTGAGCGAAAGGTTCTGGTCTTTTAACATTGGATTTGCAAGAGCGACCACACCACGCGCACCATGTGGCGCGACCCCCAAACCGGACCGCACTCGTTGCCTCAGCGAACTCGTCTCAAGGGGTGCACCCGTATGCGCCCGTCGACTCGCAGACTCGCACTTCGAAGGTTGGAATTTCTGTCGTTGTTTCAACTAGTAGCTTCTGGCTCCTAGTCGCGATGCCCTTTGTTACTAGTAGTTTCTTGTTACTAGTAGTAATGCCAGGAGCTAGCAGTAGCTTCTTGTTACAGGTCGGGCCACTCTGCACAGAGAACCTCCGCGTAATCTGCCGACTCGTGATCCTTGGAACGACCGGTCCGCGAAACAAGTGATACACGAAGGCTCTGCACGGCGCGTGACGTGAAGCGCACGCATGATTGGGATTATTGGGTGTCTAATGGTTTCCAGAAATGCATAACATCAATAATAACAAATATGTATCTAATTGATAGCATACATTTATAACACGTATATAATACAGAATGCTTGCTGCAGTACTAGGTACATATTCCAATATAGTTAGCCGGAATGACTTCTATGGGAAAGTCAACGTGAGGCTCTGGTCATGCTCCCAGACTTTTCGAAAACCACTGCTTTCTAGGGTGGTGGGCTTTGTTTGGTCCTCCAGTTGATTCGTTTACAAAGTCTGCAAAAAGGAAAACGATCTGCAACTGGGAGCTGCATGAGCAGCCAACTAAACTTGCCTTTGGATCGCTAAATTCCAATTCCTGGTCAGAATTTCAAATTGGTACACAAAAATCACAAAGACTTGAGAAGAGGGATACACGAAAGGTAGGACAGCGGGAGGAGAATAGAAGCATGTAAAATATGCAGTGTGGTGCTGGTGGAGTCGAGGCAAACGTCAACTTGAGAGTGGGGGAATATAGGTATATGATAATCCTCAACGACAGGAAGCACTAAAAACAACATGTCATGTCTCTTCATGGACTCAAACACTGCCCCAAGCTTAGAGTGCTCAACACCAAATAACCATCGAGGTGACCCACTTCGAGACGAAGCGGTTGGGGGAGGGGGGCGGGTGTATTGAAAAATCAATTCCAAGGGGGGGGGTTGAATTAAACCATCAATTATTAGATCCGGAGGGTGAAGGGCTACCTTTCGTGATAATGTTAAAGAACCATGTGTCATGTCTCAAATGTACGGCATACTGAAGTACCTAGCTTTGTACGAGAAATGGTAATAAAATACGGTACCGGGAAATAATCACTGGCTAGGAGACAAATAAAGTAAGTTCTTCCAATACTAGTTAAGTAAAAACTACAAAACAACAGGCTCAACAAGTAGAAGTCACCACCCTGAATGTGCAGACTTTGGTGTTTCAATGGGTATAGTATAGTGTATGTTCTGTGGTTCTTCCGAATGTCAATTCAGGATATCATACCCACTAAACAACTACAAATCCTCCGCCAATCTCCTGTGAAAACAATGCAGGCTATACTCTGTCAGTTCATTTATTCATGTTCAACCCCATGAGTGTGAGCCGTTTTCTTGGATATGAAAATGCGCCTTGGCAAAAAGAGGCGACTACACACAAGGCCCATGAGGTGTTGAGTGTAGCTGACAATGAGGGGCAGGATCTGATTCCAAGGAAAGCAACAAGGAAACAATTGGCACTTATATAAATGTGTGAAGCATGGCAACGGAACTTCGACTGTGAACTGTGAACCATGCCTCATATGCCTTCGTTTCACTAAAGCAAAACAGCTCCCAACTGTTCTTAAGATGTCTTAAGTCGCCTGTCCCACGCTGCCCTTCGTGTTCTTACCCCCCCCGGGGCCCGGCTTTTCACACACCACCGCCGGAGCCTCCGGTTGCGGCGCCAGCCGTGTTGCGCCGGAGCGTCGGTGCAGACTTGATCGAGGCCATGCTTTGGGCCAAGATCTGAGAACCTCCATCCGGGGCGGTGGTTCGGCGGTTCCGCGGTTGGGTGGGGGTTGGAGGTGGGGGGGTCCAAAGGTCAGAAGAGCATGTCATGGGGGTCCAAAGGTCAGAATGGTTCGAAGGTGTGGAACTGGTTGAAGATGTGCCAGGTCGGTGCAGGTCTGCACCAGCTGTGGGATGGTTCTCGAACAGGTGACCAAGGCATGACGCGAATGGACTGCCGGAGCTTCTAAGACCACAATTATTGTTCTCACTCCAGTTACAAGTTGACCCATTGACACAATGATTGTCGCATGCATTTCTTGTTGAACACTCACCTTAAGTTCCCTATAAACATGTGAACCATTGCTACAAGGGAAACAAAGACCAAGCAAAACCTGTCTGGTTGGAGTGAGTTTCTCAAATGTTGACCCAAAATATGTTCCCACATTTACCCACAGTTCTATTCTCCCATCCCGCGCCTGGTGCGCCACCTTCGACGTCCAGCGCAGGAGTATCTGTGCAGGCTCTGGTGGGTCTGAGACAGACCTTCCCTCCCTAAGATGGGAGGAATCCTTTTAACTCCTTTTCGATGAGCCTCGGCTATAATCCAATAGACCCAGCTAGAAGCAGGGCTGCACGGCTCTCAAAGCAAGCATAGGCTGAGGGGCTGGACTCTTGTGGAATTAGAAGGTTGACATTTGCAAAAATAAGCCACAAGAGAATAAGTCTATGTGCGGTTCAACCATACTATCCATCAAACACCAAGAAATATTCAGGACATGGAATGGTCATCAGGATTCATGATGGTCATGTGCAAAAGAGCATCATTTCAATTATATATTCAAGAACTCAGGAAGAATGACACAATGACATAACATGTAATAAAATGTCATAAGTTCCCACATCTCTCACAGTTGACTCCATGCAGTGAACAACCACAAAACGGTCCCACCAGCCACCCCGACCACGAAGGCCCATGAAGGAAGACAGCGTAGTTGGCATGCACTGCATGGAGCCGTATTTTGTTCATCGTCTATCAAACATACATACTATGTAGTATTCAGTGATTGACAAGCAATCCTTAGATGGTTGCCTTTGAACATCCTGGGGTTATGAATCAAGATTCGACATCAGCAGGATCAATCCCGCCTTGTTTCTCCTCGCTCTCTGCGTCACGTCCCTCTTGTGGAGACAAAGGTATCAAACCACCTGAAGCGCGCGAGCCAGCCTTCCTCAGACCAAGAGGGTTCATTTCAGCATGCTTTCCCCTGTGTTGCACCCAAGAACCAACAAACCCATGCCCATCTGAACAGAATCTGCCACCCTCAGCGTCACCCAAAAAATGTTTAAGCCAATAACAGCGTTAGGGACATGTTTTCAAGAAAGCCTCCTTGTCGCACCCAGCCCGATGAGGCTTGCTTGAGCCAATGCGTTGGCTTTTCGGAATCAAAGATTCGCCCACGTCAGCGGTGTGGCGGTAAACAGGCAAGGAAGGGACTAGCGGACCGGGGATCCACATAGCTTCTAAGAAGCACTTGGACCCAGAAAAGACTCTCCAATCACTGCAAAGAGTATTTGGATCCTTAAGGGGGGGTAAGGGGGGATTGTTTATATGGTTTAACTATCATTAACTCTCTCAACCATCTCTCCCATTACTTTTCGCAAGATCCGACCCCCCCCATTCCTTCTCCAAAAACGCCTTGTGAGGACCGGCGTGGGCTCAGGCGTGAGCGCCACCCGCGTGAGTGCCACTCGCGGTGCGAGGTCCGCGTTGCCATGAGGAGCTGCTCAAGGCGTTGGTCCAAGTGATGGAACCAGGAGTTCAAGTGCCGCAAGGTCTCCTCCGATATGGGATGTGAGATGATGTGAGTATGGCAGGTGCTTCAGGATCTCTGTGTCAAAGTCAATGGTTGATGTTAGGTGGGATTCCAAATGAAGCTTTGGATACCTGTTGGGCCCCAAGATTTGGGGTAGCACACAGTGGGAGCAATCGAGTTGGAAGCTGATTCTTGTTGCGCACTTGGTGGGATTGAACGCGGCACCACACTGGCTTGGGTGGACCAGAGTTGCAGGTACTGAAAGTTTTGAAAACTCGGGTGTCACAGCACGACTCTGGGACATCAAATGGAATGGTGTCACAGCACGACTCTGGGACATCAAATGGAATTGCTTTATTATGTTATCTTTAGATCTACAGTAATGATTCTTATCAAACAGCTCAAACTTCACGAAAACAAAGCAAATCACGGGGCAAGAACACTCTCTTCACATGCCAAAAGATACATAGCCCGGCCTTTCCAAGGTGGGAACCCAACAATTGAGCCCGCTGAGTCTGGGTCAAACACTAGATCCACCCAAAACACCCAAATGCTGTTTGCTTTTTTTGTGCGTGTGTCCTTTTCAAGCGGACAGCAAGCAACTTGCTTCCAGGGTCTGTTTTGGCAAGTGGTCAGTATACCGCTGACTTCTTTCGCTGGCCTAGAACGTTTGGGCGTCATGGATGCCGGATGCTTTGCAAGTATTTGACCAATTGACCAAGTCACCCTTGAAGCATGTTGACGCACACGGATGGGTAGTTATGGCCACAACTCCCGAGTCTCTCATGATCAATCCGAATCGCCGAATCCTAGCTGGTCCAGCTGCCAGGCCAGGCGCCGGATTTCTTCTCTTAACGAGCGCTGGTGAACAAGGACTCCTTTCAAAAGCGCCCGGGAGGTGCCCCGGTGCCCGGCGGTTTTCAGAAAGCTATGCCTTCCAAGCTCCTGTCAAAACTCTTGGTGTGGTAGCCTGGATAAGCAGCTGATACACAGTTTGGGAAACCTCACACATTCAACACAAATGAGTAAGCCCCTCAAACCCCTCAAAGCAACAAATAACAATGTTGTTTGTTGAATCCTAACCCCCCCCCGCGTACCAGCATAGTCAACCATGATCGTCAGCTCAATCAAACATACCTCATCAATCTGATCAAAATAAACGCTGCCAAGGATCTTGCTCATGCCTTTGTAGCACATCTTCAACCAAGTGGATGTCCGACTTCGCCATGTGAAGGGATCTATATAAGTGGCCCAAAATACCGGGGCGGTGACTTAGCACATAGAAATCGACCCACTCAGAGTTGACAGAGATCCCAAACCCACACTGTCTTTGTGCTGTGTTACATGATCTGTGTGTTCACCTTGTTGTCAGGGCCTCAAATCGCGGGCATACTATTGGCTGCCATGGTCTGGAGCCACAACAACATGTGGCTGTGAGGATTGCCAGTTGGTGACTGAACTGTCTTGTGTTCTCGTTGCGAATAGTTCAAGTACTGTATCATTTAGTATGTGTGGCAAATCACCGTCAGCTACTTCAATGATCTTCAATTAATTTCATATACACAAAAAAATCCAGAGAGTGCCCTGGTTGGGGAATCCCGATCAAGGAACATCTAAAGGCTTGTTAAAAAATTATGTAAGTCCATCCTGGACTCTCTTCTAGTCGATGATCCATCAGTGCGATCCCACTTGCTTGAGCCGAGACGGGATCTCACGAAACGGATTGGCCGCCTGGAAACCCACCTGGCCACGTTCGACATGAACAAATCCTAGAGGTCAGTTGGACCTCATTTTGCTGGCCTTAGTCATGCAAAAACACTACGAGGGAAATACTGGACCAGGAGGTCATGATACTTGGTCAGACTGGATCTGTAGGGAAATTCTTATTACCAAAGACTTCCGGCCTTGGAGTTTGAAAAGCTCTATACATTTTACCGACTTCCCCGAAGAAGCTGGCCCTTCAGAAGTTCCCGGGATCCCTTCATAGAGGTACAGTAGTTCTTCAAAAATATGAGATCGCAACTGGCGTGAACCTACTACACTACTAGAGTTCCCTCGCCTCTAGGTACCAAGTATATATATTGTATGTGTATTGGTCTATAAGTCAATTATATATGTGCGTGCAGGGTTGTGTTCCATCTTTCAGGGTATATTGATTGAACGGTTCAAGCATATAACACGCTGGCTTGGTATCGGTATTGACACGACCACGGAATACAAGAGTCCTGAGATGAAACACTGGGGAGGCACCAACAGAAATTAGAGCACTCGAATGGTCTAGATGTTGTCGAACCAATGATAACCAATGGCTATACCTATGATGACACTGATGACAACCAATGACAATGGTCATACCCATGTAATTATATATAATTAACTATATATATTTATTGTACTATGATGGCCCCTGGAGTGGGAACCAACAACCGACCCTTCTCTGTACTTTTGATAGTATGACTTTAACTACTGGTGCTTCCTTCCTTCCTTCCTTCCCTCCCTTTTCGACTTACCCGATGCATCAAACTCACTCGCTGGACATAGTCATAGTCGGGCATTGTCACATGAATGGAACATCCCGATCCCTCGTCAAACATATCGTCGAAAACCTCAATGCATCTCCAAAACGAAGCCTGAATCATCAGGAACTTTATGAACTTTGCCAAAATTCGGCACTCACTGTCTGGTTTCATATCTACCCAGTCTACCCTCTGGTGCCCGTGCAGAATCAAACTCATGCTGACCCTCAACATCCATCAACACCCATGGGCTACGAAGCGGGAAAACCCCGAGGCTCACCTGAAGCGGTCAAGCCTGAGCAGCTCCGAACACTCAGACTGAACCCTTTGGTATGGTGCCGAAGCAAAGTCTGGCACCTGAAAACATTGTTTTGGATAAGGGGCCTTGATAAGGGTGGTATGCATTCAACTCCCGGCCTGGGATTTCCTAAGAGTACCTTGGTGGAGCATGGTAGAGCTACCTTTTGAGTCAGCAACACCTTTGCGTCACTTGATCTCCACGCTGTGCCCGGCTGAAGAAGCAGCCTTGTTTTGATGCCCCAACGGCCAACGGGGGTGTATGAAGGGCGGCCCATGTGAGAGGGCCTCCAGCCACTCGCTCCCCGCCATGGACACAGCAAATATTGGGTGGAAAGGGATTGGTTCTGACCTCCCACTAAGCTGTGGTCTGTCATTGAAATCATTGTGTAAGCATTGCAATGTAACGCCTGACTACCCAAATTCAGGAAAGGTGAGGCCATTCTGCAATTGTGCCGCTTAGCTTCTCAGGCGGCTACAATGTTGATCTGCTTCAGCGGCTGATTGTGGCCTCTTGAATACATTTGCCTTTACAAGAAGATGGATCCCAGTACCTTCAAACACCATTAAACTTTAAGGTCAAGGTACATCAGGCCCAAATGATTTTTCCTCTGAATTAATCTCATCAAATATCCCAAAAAAAACGTGTGAAGAAGCATGGAAATCATCACCATTCCACCAGCTCGTAAACATCCCTCAGGTTCATTTCTTCGACCTGCGCGTGCCCCAGTGGCTTGAAATCCGCCCCCCCCCAGTTTTCAAAGATCTTCGAGGAAAGGTCCCCAGGTCAGAAAGCGCGAGCGCTCGCAGCTGGAGTCGTGCTTTTCGCTTGGAGGGGTTGACTTTCGAGACCATGGACATTATATACTGATAGTGCTAGCTCCTAGGACAAAGTGTTCTCAGGTGGGGCTTTGCTTCGCTTATCAAGCATGAGCACTTGCTTGTCGATTGATACTGACTCTTGGGAAGATGATCGTCCAACTCCTCCAATGCAAAACTTGGTCAATGGCAATGACTCAATCATTCTCCAGTCCAGTTGCGAGATCACGTCTTTGCCACGTCAGTCTTCGTCTCAAGAATCTGTCGACCCGGACTGGAGGGGAAAAACTGGATTCGCCATACCGAATCCGAAGCAAAGGAGACCGGTCTGCACACCTCCGTGTCTGCACACCTTCGTCTCTGCATGTTTCGCTTTTTGATGGACTTTCTTTCGACTTTCGGAACGCGGATCGGTCATCAAAGCGCACCGCCGCTGCATGCTATAATTGACTATATTAATAATTGTCTCATAAAGACTCATACTGTAAATATATAATTACGCACATATCCAACAACATTAAGATATAAGCAGGAGAAAGGAACATTATGGTTGCATTGACATGTTCCCACCGCCTTTGAAGGGATGAAAAGGAAACGCCGTCTGCCCAAATGACCCAGGGGAGAAGCCCCAAACCCAAATGATGAAGGAAGACACACATATCCCAAAGCTGGAGGTCGCCAGCTTTCAGATGGAGCATTCAATGGAAAACAACCGGATCTCGGACCAGTCGGACCGGCACGACCAGTCGAAAATGGGACTGCAACAAAACCGTCTCCGGGAACAAAGTCATGGTTCCAGACCCGTCTCCGTCTCCATCCATTTCGAGTTGTTTTTCTTTTTTTGAACTATGTTTGTTGCCGAGATCTCCAAAGTCCCCAAGCTCCCGCAAAATCTCGCTGGTGATCTGAGTGCGGACAAGAGGTGAAGCTGTCTCATGCACTACTTTTGTTCAAAAGCAGTTGCCATTCTATTGATGTTTGCCAATTCTCGAGTCCGTCTTAGACGGTCAAAATGGCTCTCGCTCGAATCGCTTCGACGATACCTCGGCATCGGCGGCGCAGGTGTCTCAAGGCTCGGAAAACATGACACGTCCAAAAAAGAGCCCCGGAAAAGTCAGAGGTTCCACAAATCTGTGTGAACATCCCCATTTGATCTCCCAGCTGGCTCCTTCAAGAGCCGTTTGGAGGATTTATCGCAAAAAAAGTCCACTGGCCCAGTGACTATATTGAGAAGTATAGCGTACACTGCCTCTATTGAGCGCCTCTGACACCGGTGGTTTGGAGCGAAAAGAATGGCCTGTCGATCGACCCGTCACCCGTCCGACGGGTCGATCGCTTCCTGCAACGTTCGTAGCTTCTTGGTCCCAAAAGGTGCTGGAAAACACCAAGATCGAAACAGTCGGAATCTGTCTCGAGAAGTTTTGAGGGGCAAGCCCTCCGGGTTGGCTCCCAACTGGTGAAGTTGATTCGAGTTATGGACTGACAGGTTGCACTCTCATGTGAATGCCCGAGCTTTATAAATATGTGTGTTCATGTACAATATGTGTATGTTCGTCAAAAGCTGTCCTCAAAAAATGTTTGATGCTCGATGTGTTTTGCATACTAGTTAATATTAATATTATTGTTGTGCTTAACAAGCTTTACAAGTGGTGCGTTAGCCCCAGCAATACCAATTCTTTAGACACCAAAACCTAGATTGATTCATCCATCTGCTGCGATGTTGGTATAATCTTGCATAAGCTTGGCATAAAAAGTTCTTCGATGACACAAATCCTGGCTGAGAGTTGGTGCACCAACAGATAGCCAAAGTGTTTCATCCCTTTCTGCAACACCTTGAACCTCAACCAGTTCAACGCTATAATGTGCGACAGTGCTCATATTGAAAGTCCCAAAAACGAGACACTCCCCAGTCCCAATCATGTCACTTGTTGGTTTGGGGCAAGGCCTCAAAAGCCTGGTCAACTGGCAACTGAAGAATCGCTACCTCAGCATGACTGTTACACCCCTTTCCGAGCCACACAAGAACATCCTCACTGAAGTTGGAGAAGCTGCGGTTTTGTGACTGGCTCATCTGGTGCATCTGCTCCCGCATTTTCACGTTCTGCTGCCGCAAGGCATACCTCTTCAGGTCTACGGCTGCCGAGAGGTTTTCACGTCACCCTTTAGTCTTGACCCCTGAGTCACTGAGATCCACCGTCCCTGCCGGTGGTGCTCCAGTTTCGGAGCGTTTAGGTCACGAGGCCGGATGGTGCCAAATGAATGAATGACAAATCATTCGGAAAGGTTATACAAACAAAACCAAATCCCATCTGGAATCATTTCAAGAGAAAACAACACACACTCTCTCTCTCTCTCTCTCTCTGAAGGGACAGCCCATGAATATTGCACCACTGTTGGCTGTTCACCGACTTTTTGCAAATGGCGTTGGCAAACCAACAGGGGCGTCGCAATAGGAGCTTCCCCCCTACAAGTCGCCAGTTCCCGTTCCGAATTCCCATTTGGTTGCTACAGTTTCAGGTCCAACATGGCGGTCAAAATCTTGCGGACGTTGCGGATATGGTGCTTTTCAGAAGATTGCAAAACATAGAAAAACCTTCCAAGTGAGTCAATAACCCAATTAAACGGGCATTGATTTTGCGGTCAAGATTGCAAGATTTGACTTGCAGAATTGACACCAACAAGTTATTTCAGGCGTTCCTCTCTATCTCTGTTGGTAAAGCCGTATTGGTTCTGAACTATGTTGTCGTTAATGTTGTGGAAAAGGGTATTGAACATTTCCATGTTGTAGCCAATATTGTGGAAAAAGGTTTGCTAGTGTTTACGTTGAAGGAACCTTTGTAGCTGGTGGCCCATGATGCTGGCTGAGGCTTAGGACGTTGACAGGTTAAGGTTAACCAATTAAAGTCAGAAACTAAATTGAACACTTAAAACTAAATTTGTAAGTTGCTGGACCTTGGGTGTTGTGGGACCGTATCAATTCTAATTAAAGCCCCCAAATCACAATCACAACATAGAACATGACACAACAAATGCATGACATTGCATCACAACATCAACAAAAACATAGCTCGAGCTGAATACTGAATTGCTAACAAACAGGGGCACTTATAGAGGGAAATGCTTGAACTACACTTCTTTCTTCTTTCACTTTCGCCAAGAGCGTCTCGCTTGTGACTAGTGGTTTAATTACGAATTGGCAGAAGTCACTGCCGCTGCATGGTAGTCAGGGCCCATCGGCGCCTCAGTGTCGAAGTGGGCCACCAACTTCTGTACAGCAGCTTCAAACCAACCGGGAACATCGGCCTCCCCTTCATCGGCCTGAGCATCTAGAAAGGTCTGTGCAAGCGCTTTGCAAAGTGCACCGGGATATTGCTTCAGTCGGCTCGTGTTCCAAACGCCTTGGGCGTTTTTCCCGACGCTAGAACCGACAGGAACCTCGGTGACCTTACCGGCACGAAGCAGGTGCTCAGCCTGCGGTGCATGTGCTACTAACAGATCCGTAGGTTTGGCGGACGGAGCACCAAAACACAGGGGGGGCATTAGGTGTCAATCCTCCCCCAACAAAATTTGGGCCAGCCGAATTTACAGCTCGACCGGACATCTGGTAGTGTCCAGGAGCAGACCTCTCATCAGTTTGGAGTTGACAAACTTCGTGGTCAAACAGGTGGCCAAGAGTGTCATGGCCCTCCCTACAAAATTCTCCAAAACCGAATCTTGGTCGAAAGCCTTCATTCAGGGACAAGCATCCTGAGTGCAAGCCAGAGCGCCCACAAGGCCAAGAGGCATCTCGAGCTTCATCATCCACAGCAGCAGCAGGAACTGTAGAGGTTGCGTTTTGAATATGCTGCCACTGCTGGTGGGCTGTAACAAACTCAGCCCCGACAAGATTGCCCAAAAGAAAAAGGGCCACAAAACTTCTTGTCAAACCACCACCCCTACGCGGCCTCAGCAACAAGCGTCTCCCTCCACATCTTCGTGCAGAGTGGGGAAAGCGTGGAAATTGTCGCTCTCTCCAATGTAGTATCACAATTGCCGCCAGAAAGCAGATCATCCCAAGAACTACTCGGAAGAGGCCTAGTAGGATATGCACACCACTGACGCCAGCTTCCACTTCATCCTTTTCCGCTGCCTCCAAGCAAACAATGTTCATAAAAGCCGCAATGGAAAGCCAACCAATGATACCAGTGATTCTTGACAACGCCGGCCAGGTATACAGCTTTCCATGTACCCTTGTATGCCAAAAATCCGAAGCTTCATACACCGCACTGACTAGAGCAAATGCCCATAGAGGCGGCATGAAGAGACACACCAACAAAGTCCAATCAACCCCAGAAAAGGAAAAGTCACTGGCTCGTCCAACAAGCCAGTGTATCCAGGATGAATAGGAGATCTCTAACAGAACCGAGATGAAGCAGCTCGGAAAGGCAAACGAAAAAAAGAGACCACTACATCCCAAAGCAGTGGATTCCTGAAAGTTCACACTCGGGGTAGCATCATCTTCTCGAAGCAACTGCCCCAAAACTACTCTATGTTTACCCCTGATATCTCATCAGTGGGCGAAAAACCACCAAAAGGAAAAGGACCATCTCCAGCAAGGGCACTGACAGAGCTCTTGAGGAACCCAGCTCTGTCACACTGTTCCTGCCCAGACACTAGCATGAGACAATCCCGCACTCCATATAGATCTCGACCAAAAGCAGCGCAAAATGCAACCTCATGGTCAATTCGTGAAACATCGAAGGCCAAGATGCCTTCTATTCCATGTCGTTCATAGCATCTGGCATAGCATTCTCCGGCCTTTTGGGTCCATGAGATGCCGCTACCTGTCCAGGCGAACTGTCTGCACCAATCTTGGGCACCGATCCATTGCCTCGGAATGGGAGAAGGGCATCCCTCACCCTCTTCTTCGGAGTCACCTTCTCCTCCTCCGGCTCTTTCTTCACAGGCAGAAGTCCCGGTGGGCCAGCTGCCGTGAATGACGACATCACCTCCTGGATGAGTTTGTCCACACTGTCGAAGGTCGGGTAACTGTCCAGATTGGAGTTCAGAATCCCCAGGATCTTTGCTTGACAAACCTCTGGAAGTCCACTCAGCTTCTCTTTCAATCCAGCATGAACATCGTCTTTCCCCGGCTCTTTCTTCTCTGTCTCTCCACAATCTCCTCGACCTCTCGATCTGGAGCGCCCATGTCTCTCTGGCTTCTCGGGCGTGAGGATCATCGGGATCTTGCCTTCCCCCTTGGGGTGAACCTTCTGTTCCGGCGACTTGCGAAGAGCTTCTGTATGGAGTGACCCATTGTCTGCAAGCTTGGTAGGCATAGCCATCATCTGCGAATGCATGTTGTCGATCATCTGATAATTGCGATGCTCGAGCTGTGCAGTGTAAGTGGTAAGATCTTTGAAATCCTGCCGCATCCCAGCAAGCTCTTGTTCCAGATGTACAATGGCAGGCTTGACTCCTTCGGCATCTGACTCCGAATCCACTTCCACAGGGTCCACTCCATCTCGCTGGCGCTCCAAGGAGCGCAATTGTTCTTGCAGCTGAGTCAAAGCATCTCCATGCCTCTTCTCCTCCTGCTTCACTCCCAAGCTCATCCATTCCTTCCAGGAACGGAACTTGCCTTCCTCCTTTTCTATCGATTCCTTGACCTTCTCCAGGCGGTTCAATCCACGTCTCTCTTGATTGAGAGCCTTCTGTCGCTCTCGCAAGGATTCGCGAGGATCTTCCTTCACCAAATCCTGGAAATCCGCAGGAATCTCCACCTTGCCCGACATATTCTCCAGAACAAACTTCATTGCAGCTTTGAGCTGCTTGTTCTCGTCCTTGAGCGAGTTGTCCGAAGAGGGCATAGAAGAGGACCGGCCAGAAGTACGGTCTGCAGCATCTTCTACCTTCACCTTCTTGCCATCGTACCCGTAAAAGGCCGGCTCTTTGTCGAGGTCTTTCTGCCACTTTCGATTCTTCTTCTGTGGGGTCTGGTTCCAAGACTCCCACGCAGACCATTGCTGCTGTCTGCCTTTCCCCCATGGCATGTTCTCACGAAGAGCTATAGCTTTGAGGGAGTAGTATGCTTTCGTATGGTGTGCTGCCAAAACCCTTCGGGCAAAAAGCAGCTTTCCAAGAACCCTTCCACAAGGAAAAGGCTTATCGCGGTGCCGCCGTAGGTAAAACCGCAAGCGCTGTCTCCTCTTTCTAAGCTTCCGATGCCAAGAGGGAGACCCTATGGCTTCGAAAAAGCGATCTCGTCGAGATCTGGGGCCTAAAGTCCTTCCGCTATCCTAGCGGCAATCTCGAGCCCTGCTTGAACTACAAAACAAACACCTTCTTTGAGTCCATGTGAACTCTTGCAAACGGCCACATCACACATGCATCCGCGGCACAAATCCACGGATCGCGCCGGGCCATGCAACCTAAACGGAAGCAAACGGGGCATTGCAATTGATGATTCCTGGGAGCAAGCCTGCAACAATCTGGTTAATCTTCAGGTGAATCTGCAGATTATATGATCTCAAATAATTGGTTTTAATTTATATATATTATATAATTTATATATTACTATATATAATATATATATATAATATATTCGGTTCAATACCCAGAATAGCGCGACTGGCAGATCCTGTCGGCCACGGCCATTTGGCGGTGAGTGTCAGCGGGCAAATCCATTAATACCCAGAATAAGGCGAATTGTACAAGGACCACCCCACCTGTCACCTGTCGCGCTGAATTAGTTTGAAATCCTTTGCCTCTCCTATCAGTTCAAGAAGAAACTAAGCTCCCACTGAAGGGCTAAATCATCAGGCAAGCAACTTCAAGCAGCCTTCGGTAAACTCCTCCACACTAATGACCTGGCATCCGGCCAAATCAACCACTGACACTCATAGAGATGTCCAGCCACTGAGCCGGTATGCTAGGTTTGCCATGCCATTGCAACATGAGGAAAATACATGAGTGCTTAGCTCAGGGGGTCAAATCTTTGAGGGAACCACACATGTGGCTATGCTCCAAAAAAGATCTGAACACCAACAAATACGCCTCACCACATCCTCCCCAAACTGGTACTCCCAATTCCAAGAAGGACTCCATCGTCCAACCTTCACACCTTGGCCCCAGGGGCTGAAAGCGCTGAATCGTGTGATCAGTTGAAGTGAAAGAACACCATATCGAATGTTTCAGTCGAAGCTTCCGGCAGAAAAAGTCCTGTTTTGATGAACTCTTCCCCGCGAAAAACACATATCTATCATATCTATGTTATCCTAAGCTCATATGTCTGAGAACAAGTGCAGCAGGCCCAACATTCCGATTTGTCCCAAAAAACCCATGAGTCCAAAAACCACCGGAGAATTATCCACTCCTCGGATTCCCTCGGCCTAGAAGACCTCTGACTACCGTCAAGAAGGTGCCAGAAGGGAGCTGCAGGAAAACACATCGAGCTCTTGGGCTTCTCTCGAGATGGAAAATGACACCCAACGGCTGAAACACCCGTCCGTGCGCCCGCTTTTCGGAGCGCCGATGTCCAGCACGCGCCTTATCGCCGTCGATGTCCAAACTGGCGAAGAGCGTCCAAGCGTCCGTGGCTGAGATCTCGATGGAATCAAGGAAGGCCTCCGACCACGATTCCATCGTATCGAACAACAAAAACACACGCAGTGATCTCCGATAGAAAGCTATCTTCAGCGATCACGGACAGTTGAAAAGCTGCTTTATAACATTCTAATACATTATATAGCTGTCGGTTGGGATGGCAAGGAGGTGGTGTTATGCAAGAATCTATTCTCTAGGGCGTCCGAAAGGAACATGTTGTTTTTGGCTTCGGCTGCACCTCTCCCATGTGGAAAACATGTTTGTCGACACAAACCACCCACAATGTTGCCAGTGTCATACATTTGTTCAATAATTCACTCATGTGATCACGGCACTTTGACAAGGACAAGTTCGTCCGAGCAAGCAGCATATTTAGATGAAACTGTCTTTGGGAAGCCCGCCTCGTTACACGGGAGGACACCATTTAGTGAAAAGGAAGACTGACTGACTGTTCCACTCCACTATTGTCACTATTGGAACAGCACAGCCTGACAGCCTGATTGCTGCCGGCATTTGCTGGCAGCTTCTCGTTTGGTCTTTGCGTTATAGGACATCAACCGATCCTGCAACTCACGTTCCTTCGCTGAGTTTGTTGCACTCCGGTGATTCACTTATCCACCAGCTTAGCACGCGACACGGAGAGGTGCCTGCGCACCCTTTCAGTGTGTTGATATAGCTTTGTCTGAGACAAATGCCCACATCATCGCGGTAGCAACTTGGACCAGTGCAAAGCTCTCTGGTGGTTCAAGTTAGTTCGCCAGAGAGTATCCAACGTTGCCACTGCGGGCACTGCAAGTCTTCCAAACATTGCACCAATGGCGCTGGGTCGTTGTTTGGTTCATTCGGGTGTCCCACGCACCAGAAAGTTGGCCATCAGGCAGCCGGGTCGGTGCAAGAAACCCACTACGCATGGGCGTCAACCCAGGAACTACCGAGGAACTCACGTTCCATGTTCCACAAGTGTTGGATGGAGGGAGAGAGAGCACACTGTTCTTAACAGGCAAGAACATTGACAGAAGGGGTGCATAAGCAAATATTCATTTGCAGTGTTGGCTCTCCTAATTTGTGACTTTGTTGGAGGGCCTGCATGTCTTCATCTTCGAAAAGCTTCTCAAACTCATCGATGGTGATGGATCCATAACCACTGTCGTCCATCTTCCTGACACTGACCCGGTTGACGAGGAATTCCGTTCGAAGAGACACTGATCACTGTGGTCCGCTGGATATGGATACCATACTGGATGCCATCTATCATGGCCTTGCCTAAACCAACTCCTTCCTTAATTCCATGGACTATGGGACTGATGGCCACTACAGACTGGTTGGGGTTGTTGGCACCGCAACTTGTTAGAGTATTTCTTGGCATGTGGGCATGTGATTGATTTATCAGCATATTATTTATGGTAGCAGTTTCAAACTCTCAGGGGCAAAGAGCTGACATCCTTTCACTCATGGATGGAACATGAACCCATGAACATGTTAACAAAAATAAGGCCATGTTCCAAACCCAAAACGCAAATTGAAGTCCTGCTCCTGGATCCCCTCCTCATCCTTCTTCTATTTTGGCTTTGTGGAGCCAAACATAACATTCTATTGGTCGTCTTGCGACGTTGGCACGTGCGCATGCACCATCTGAGCATGTATTTTGGCTCAATGTCCAGGAAGGTGGAACACCGTAGACCCAGGAATGGTCGGTTGTGGCGACCAAACTTCCACAGGTTGGTCGACCAATTCCACCAAACAAAATGGATGGCTGTTTGGTCGGATCGAAACGAAAATCCGGTGTAGATGGTTCAGGAAAGCCTTGAGGTGCTTCGATCAATTTGAGGTGCGTTATTTTTTTCAGGGGAACACATGGGGACCAAGTAAAATTGAAGGGTTTTAAGAGGACCCTTCTTTTGAGCTTGGTGTCCCCTCAAGGTTGAAAACCCCAAGCTTGTGGGCTTCACTTCGCGTGAAAAACCTCAAGCCGCCGCTGGATGAGCAGCATCACGGGAGACGATCTGAGAGGCCGTGGCATCCAAGAAGTCTGTCCATGCGAATGAAAAAAAGTAGTGAGTAGTTGACCCAAATCATGGTTCTTTCGTTTTCGGAGAAGTAGTTGACCCAAACATGTACAGAAATGGTTAGACCATGTGGTCTATTCCTTCCTTGACGAGAAAGTCGTCTCCACTTCTCATCGTCTATCCACTTCGCACCGCTTCAAAGCACCAAGCATCTGGAACAGGTTGGTGGCCATGTTCCGGAAGCGATGTCGGTTTTGCATCATGATGTCCTGGTGCTTTTCAACAACAGGCTGGACCAAGACCACCTGGGGTGGGGAGGGCCCAGTTTTCAGACACATCCTTACACCCTCTAGCCTGCGGACTGACCTATGAAGGCAAAGTCAAAAAGACCTAGAGTCTAGACACCATGGATCAAAGGAAGGCACCAACACATGCAGTCTTAATCTTACCATACAGGAGGCAAAACTAGCATGAGGTTTTGGGAAACAAACACTGGCCACCTGACACTAGCCCCCGGTCCAAAGGATTTATCTGAGTCCCCTTAAGGCTACGATTCCTTTGTCCAGGCAACAAGCCACTGACTGTACTGGCGGAAGACGGCTGAGAACGGATAAATCACGGGTAAGAACGCCTACGAAAAAGGATGCAAATCAACAAAAGGCACCAGATTTGCCCCAGTTGCGGATGACCAACCACGGCCCCCGGAACCAGTAGCTGGTGAATCTCCATCTTTATTATCACTGTAATTATTTGTTTTTTAGCTATCTCCCCCCTTCCCTACTGATTTTATGAAGTAGGCGCCCACATAATTAAGTAAGGAACTGAGGTAGCTAGTAGCTTAAATAGCTACTACCTAGGACGCAGGATAGCTCACACTTCTTGAAGGAAGCTCGCACTAATCATAATCATTTGGTTCCTAGATTTTTTGGGAAACTTAACCTCAGAGATCCTCAGAGCAATGGCCTCCAAATTGAAAAAGAAGGACAAAGGCGGCTTACAACCGTCATAGGCAGAAATTGATGCCCAAGGAATTCTATATGCAAGTCACCTGGTAAATTGATGTACTAGTCCGTTGCATCTCTTTCAAGTTTGGTACTATGTTGGTTCTGGGAACTGTATCTAGCACCACCAGTTCTTTGAGTCTTGATACGATCCGAGCCAGGACTCTGCACCAAATCAACAAACACCTTTCCAGCCCAAGCTTGGAAGAATCAAATGAATGGTGGTTCCTAAAGAACAAACAATCCGTACGTCCATGTCTTCAGTATTTGAAGGCTCAACGGAGGGCGCGTGGAGAAAGGGGGTCAGCCAAAATCACCTGTACGAAGTTAGTGCATCAAAAATACCTTCTACGAAGTTGTACGAAGGTTTCTGGGATTTTGTTGCAGTCAGTTTTCCTACTGGCCCACCATTCCACGAAACGTCCACGAATAGCCCCGGGTTCCACGAATGACCTGCGCCTTCCACGATGTTAGTAGAATAGGTGTTTGCAAAACTCTTTCTGTGCACTACCCTTCCATTTGCCTCTGAGTATTCTTCAGTACGTCCAAGGGTTTCAGAGCAAATGGCACCAGTTACCCCAAAGTTCAGTGGTTTATATGGACCACCTTCGGCGATTGTCCCATCTACTCTCAATCCGCTGTCGACGGTCGCTCGACCGGCCCCGGAGTCATGGTCGTGCTCGGCCGCGCGGATCGCGCTATTGCCTGAGCGAGGATGGGGTGGAACCTTCAAATCTGTCAGCCGATCCCGACACAACTGGGGAGTTTGGTGACCCCATAACTTAGTAACAAGCTTGTTCAAACACATAAGCTCGGCATACAGCAAGAGCAAACTTCCCATGCTCTCTGAACTGGTCCAAATTCAATACCCTTTGTGATGTGGGAAACGTCAATGAAGGGAACACAACATGAACCCCTGTCATCTGTAGGTTGCCTGTAATCTGTCCACATCCGTTTTGTTTCTGCTGCAACACATTTGCTGTGGTCACCCATGCAACATATGTATTCCGTAGTCATGAAGAGCCTTTAACATGTTCAACAACAATCGTGCGGCACATGATTGGCTTGCTATTGGATGAGACGCACCTGATGAGGAGCCAAAGGGTGATCTGAGCACAAGTAGCACGCGCAGGAGTCATGGGTGGTTGTGGCTGCACCCCGATTCTGAAGATCTCCAAATCAAACACACCCCACATAATTTGTCCACCAGGCGCACACAGGTGTAGGCGCAGAATGCCAAAACTCTGCCAACTCGACGCTGCCAAGTCAGCCCACCCAAAATGCGTCGTGAATTAAAACACAAAACGGACCTTGATACCAAAAAAGAGTTATAGTGTCATTCAAGGAGGACAGGGCCAGGTTTGTTTCTTTGTTTCTTTCTGTTTGTTTTTCTATGTTGTTCTCCTACGGCCACCCAAAGTCCAAAGCTTTTCCGTGATGTGGTGAGCCGACTTCGGCGACGTGGCTGCGGCCAAGGATCAAAAGACCTGCCGGACAGGCAGAGTTGCCCACTCTTCGATGTTCAGTTGGAGAATGCTGAAGTGAGATGAACATATCTAGGAAAAAATAGCTGAACATATATACGGTCCCCAATCCCCAATTCAACAAAACCCATCGTCTCTTGATATCTTGATCTCGAACACAAAGTGATTGAGAATCTGACTTCTCAGATCTGTGAGAATCAGCGGATGTGACGTTCCCCAGCAGGCGCGGCGTGCCCGGCGTGGTTCCGGTTTGGAAGATGAGGAATGCATCAAGATATGGATCCCTGTGTCTGAGGGTTTTCGTGGAACTTTCAAGAATCTGGGTCGTCACAACGAGTTGTGCCTACACACAAAACGCTAGTGACCGCTAGAACTGTAAGGGTCCTTTGCGGCTATGCTCCGAATGCTTTGGTCAAAGAAAACCTGACATATAGCAAAGGGACTCGCGACACAAAAGTGATTGCATGCAAAGTCCGAACCGCCTTCCATGGACTCATGGACCACCGCTGGACTCATGGTTCAGTCGACCACCGCTTGGACTCATGGTTTCATCCCGAAATCTGTCTTGTCTTTCTTCGGCAAAGCAGCGCCAGTCATCACATTGAGGATGAGAAGGCATATGAAGCCAATGTAGAAATAAAACACATGCACCTCAGCAGGCACAAGTCACCACAACACCACAACATCATCAAGCAGCTACAAATGACCCGAAACCCACCCAACAATGAGGACAGGATGGACTGCGCAACAAACTAGAATGAAGGCGGTGAACCGGTTCATCATCGGTTCATCTGCGAACATGTTGAAAACGAAAAGAAAAGGGAATCAATATCATCAATCAGGTGTCTGCAAGAATGCGTGTTGAACACCTACTGTAGCGGGTTCGTCCTTCGTTTGTGCCCTGGGCCCGAGGTGCCCAAATGATGTTGTTCGTGCCCAGCAAGGCGTCGGCGGCGTCACCCCAATCCAAGCCGCCCAGAATCGACCTCGGACGGTCGCCACTGTTTGGACTCCTTTGGACACACGACTGGATGGGTATTTTCACATACTCCGAGTGGTTGATCTGTGGTCACATACTGCGAGTCAGTCACACGCATAGTGGAAAAAGGTGCCGGTTTGTAGAGGAAAATTGTCTTCTTGAAGGCCGTCCACTTCCATGTTTGTTAGCGCGAAGAGAAACCATCCATGAGCTATAAGAGGCTAACTTCTCGCTTCTCACACGCGTAGACTTGAAACACGTGATCGTACTTGGCCGCAAATCCCCTACTGCAACTGCACTGGATGGACATGTTTGAGCAATGGGTGTGAAGGATGCAGTTTCTGCGCCTCCCAAAAAGCAACGAGGCAAAACAAACAAATAGTAATTGTATGGGGCTTACGTCTTACCCCACTGAAAACTAACAAAAACACTGAAAACCACTGGTTTGTAGAGGAAGACAGTCTTTGAGGGTTCCATTCGACCCGGGTCCAAGTGAGTTTCCCGAAGTGTAACCCTCTGCTACCAAGTATTGGGTGGACTTTTTGATGTGAGCTTCCATATCACCAACATACCGTACTTAAGATAAACCTTTTCTGTATTGCTTTGTGGCTGGGTGGATGAACTTTTGAGCACACAGCATAGACTGGGAAGTGTGAATCCAATGTAAAGATTGAACGATTAGATAGGGGGTGGCCCAAAAGAAGGAAAGGACACAAAATGGCAGCTTGTTGTTTGCCAGCTGGCAATTCTAAGTTCCTTATCAATAGCTCCAAAAGTGTACATGAAAATCCAAGTAAGTACATGATGCAGGGTGAGGGCCAAGACCAGGAAGAAAATGCATAAAGCAGTGATTGAAGGACGTGGAAATGATTTCCTTAGCTGGAAGTATTTATCTCTTTACGTGGAACGTTCAAACTCATCACAAAAAGACCATGAACACCAATTAGATCCAATTAGAGTGATCAGGAGTACCCAAATATGTTTAGCTGCAGCGTCGACCTAACCCAAGCACCTGTTCTCGCCACATGCCGGCACGGCCTGTAAAGCGTTGCGATGGCGCGGTCGACGCTGCCCCAATACTTCACGAGCTCGGGGTGTGCATCCCCTGATGGCCTCGGCGTCAGGTCATGTTCGAATCAGTTGATCCAAACCTGCAACTGAGCCGGGCTCCATCTGCACCGATTCTAGGTATAGTGGTGTGCACCATTATAGAAAATAATACGACATTATTTCAAAAATATACATGTACTACCCGGAGTGAAAAAGCATGTCACATACACACTCACAATCCGCTTGGTGAGAGAAAAAAAACACGCAAACCGTTGCAAACCTGCTTGTGACTGACTGTTGTACTGACTGTTGTCATGACTTGTGAGCGTAAGAGAGTGCAGAGAGTGTATCTGTATGATTCTCTATGCCTATGCGCTTGGAAGTGGTTTGGGACCGCAAGCTTCTCGATTGGAAGGCACAGCCTGTGAACATACTGAATCTTAGTCTGTATTGTGAGGCTGTCAAACCTCCTCAAAAAATACGAACAGTATCAGTATCACCTTTGACTCGGCACTGCTGAGGGAGTAGCTGGTTTGCTAGCTCTGGTCCATGGAGGGACCTGTCTGCGAAGTATCTATTCAGCATGCAGCATGTATGAGTATCTCATACATACACAATATATACAATATGTATATACTATATATTATATTATGTAACTATATATATTATACGCTGCACACACAATATATACATAATATTATGTGCATTCATATAAGATATGAAGGAGTAATTGTCGATATCTTTCCTTTCATCGTCTTCCTTTTATGCTTTATCATGTTGATTTGTCCGGGGAGTTCAAGTTGTGGAATCAGCATGCATTATAATCTGTTCTCAATGTTTCATGTCGATATGTTCATTACAAGCGTCCTCCTTTCAACTGAGCGGCTTTCAGCAAAAAGTGTTTTGGTCTGAATTCACCGGGCCATGTGGGTCAAATCCAAATGTGTGACCAAAGCTCTTCCAATGACCCAGAACGGCACCCTCTGCTCTGAGGGGCAAGGAATCTAAGGCTGCGTTTGAGAAGACCACTCCGAAGACATAGACGACCAGCGCAAACAACAGCAAAGCCTGAGATGTGAACTTCGAGCGGGGCGAAAGAACTCGAGTAAGTCCTTTTGACCGTCTTCCAGAGATGAATCATCGACAAAGCGACCAGCCAAATGGGGTAGAAGTCTGTACGAGCTCTTGCAGACTTGCGACAAGATAGTAGTAAACAAAAACAAATAGAAAGGATCCTTAAGGAGTTCATGTGAATCAAAGTAACATGAATTAGGGTACAAAGTGAGGGGCAACCAGCTCGATCGAAATCCTGCCCCACCATAGAATCAGGGTCAAGGTCGTGCTTCTTCGAGTGCAGAATTTCTGCCTCCAACAGTACGTAGTCGGTACCTGTGATTCACTGGAATACTCCAATGCGTGTTTGGCCATGGTGGACGGCCAGTCATAGGTCCGAACTTGTGCAGTAGACAGTCTTGGATTTCTTTAACCGAAATAACGCAATTAGCTTCAGAATCCCCGACAACTAACGCGCCCAAGATACCCAAGACAGTGCCCTGGTGGCGTCAAACCTTGCGAACCGTGGAAATCCGATCAGACCGTTTGGGCGAACTCGGAGTTCGGACTGTTCAATGAATGGAAACGCGACATTTTTCGGGAGCGTACTAGGAACAAGTGCATCGCTTCTAGTAACAAGTGCCTTACTAGTAGAAACAAGAAGCTACTAGTAACAAGTGCATCGCTTCTATAGGAGGAGCGCCTCTCCACGGGTCGGTGCCAGTCATGGGGTCCATCCGAACGTGTCTGCCGCGACCGTCGTGATGACCGGGTGACATGAAACGAGGCAGCAGACCTGGCAGGCCAGAGACGGCCCAGACATGCCTAGACGAAAAAGAAACTGACCTCCCTCTCTTTGCAACAGAGTGGTATGCAGTGCAAAGGGGTGTAAAAGAAACCCACAAACAGGACTGATGGACTTGAGGGATGTCTTAACACTTTTGGAGGGTGGGCCTACGGCAAATCCATCCTTGCTATCAAGATTTGAGTCAAACGACATCACACAAAACACCACACAAAACACCACACAAAGCACAAAACAGCTTTCGCACGGCAGTAAACGAAGCACAACACGGGCCACTATGACACCCTTCACTATGACACCCTTCATGCGTTGGGTCCGACTTGGAACACGTGCAACGAAGCCACATGGAGACCACCAATATCCTCAGGCCGCCCACGAAGCGGATGATCCGCAAGGACCGCAGCCCCTGTAGAAGCCGAGTGAAGCGGAAGACCTGCCGAAGCGGACCGCAGGTTGGTCACGGGTCAAGTGCTTGAGGAAGCCAAACATACCTGGTTCCCTGCTCACGACTATGTAGATTCCAACAGACTGCAATCATTGGCGTTGCCAAGAAATTATTGGTTGCTCAGCACACTCCTCTTCTGGCGAGTGGACTCAAATGTTGATGCTCCTATTCAGAATTCAACCCAACGAGCCAGCAGCTCCAAAGCAGCCTGAATACGGAATACCGCACACTATATCAATATTTGTACATTCAATATTATTCAATTATAGTTAGGATATGTTAGGATTAGCCCAAGCGCAGCTGCCATTTGGTTGCCACACATTGCCACCTGTTCCACCTCGGTGGACCATCTCTCGCCTTCAAGATACGTACGCCGGTGTTGGACCCGGAGCTGCTTTGACTGGTAATGTCCAACGCAAACTCCATCCAGGCGCTGATCACCACCAACACCTGAGCGCCGGCGCCCGCAAGGCGCCAGGAACGACCACGGGGCAAACCGTTTGAAAACGGGCCTCCCAGGTGGTTTGCCTTCCTAATGCCTTCATTGGTGCTGGAGGATGAATGTGTCACTCACACATGTTACTTGTTATGTACGTTGTTCATGTCAAACAAACACACAACACAGCACCAAACAAAAACATAAAGATGCATAAAGTATCCACACACTCGTACTGACCTCCCCGGTCAGTAATCACTGTAGACACAAGCCAATGCAAACCTCAAGAGCATAGGGAGGAGGGTGTTCATCCATCCTCGAAGCATCTACTCTCTTCATGGGACGATCTATAGGTCTTGTCAAATTATGTTCACATGTCCAAAGGTTTGAGTGGTTCCACGCGGCTCCTACCTTCAAGCCAACACAATTCCCTACAAATCCAAGGAGAAGGTGTTGGAACCCTCACTTTGCTCATTTCAAGTGAGTGAGGATCCCATCAAAATGCACCCCTGCTCGATCCTCTCCTCCCTCCAGGTCTGGCCGAGACTCGTCCAACCAGCCCCAAAACCAACCAGCCTCAGAGACTCGTCCGTCGACTCGGCGGAGTTCGTGCAACGAGCGGCCGCTTCGACGGACGTACGGATCCACGGGACGTTCGGACGTGCAGAGCTGGACATGCTGAGCTGGACATGTCGGTGGTTTGGGTGGTTTTGGATGAAGACATGTGACAGGTTTGGGAGACCGGACATTTCCGGTGTAATTCATGGCAATGTCCTATTTAATCAGAACCCGTTTGCGGTTGAATGCATTAAAACAAATGGTACCAAGTAACGCTTGCATGACTGAAATCATCTCTCAAGCCTTCCTGGCAGTCACAAGATGTTTGTTGCAATATGAAGCCCTGAACGACACCGAATCGACCCCGATCGCGACCTTGGTCAACGCTCCAGCCCACCTCGACCGACCGCGACTTCCGTTCCGATCCCAGTGGCAGAGAAGAGGAACTTCCGAATACCCAGGCCAACCAGCTCTAGCATGCATTCCTGCCGGGAGGGTCTGTGTGGAGTGGATTAGAACTAGTATGGTTGGTTATAATCGGAATATGAGGTGTAAGATCTTGGAGTAGAAGTAGAAAGGATGGGATCAACTAGAACATGGAAGAATTTGGAGCGGCCCGGTCGGACCGGCCCTTTCCGGGTCGTTCGCAAAGGGAAAACCAACAACTGAGGTGAAATAGCACAAGATTATTAAAACAAAAGTCAACCCAATAACCGCCTCCTCAAATCCCAGGCCGACCCTCCAGAACCGCCTTTTTACATCATCCTGGTTGAAGCACCGTGATTGACATCAACGGGTGTGCAGCAGCTCTTGAAATGAGGCACAGTATGGCACAGCGGCATATTTGCTTGGGCTCTAAAGTGATGGAAAGCAAAGCCACTGCCAGTCCATGCTTCAACAAACCCTTTGCTGTCACGAGGTGCGCTTGTCTTGGAGCTGGAAGCCGATCTGTCGGGAACATGTTTGCCCATTTGACATCTGCAACGTTTACAGAACCTGTTTACATCTGTCTACGGTTTATTCCATTTGACATGCTGCATCATTTTACATTTACAGTAGGTCTTTCTTCCACCTGTTTATGTCCATACATTCACCGCAATCTAGAAGAAACAATACTTGATGGGAAGATGTCTTGCACGGTGTTCTTTCAACGTGTAGAGGGTATTTTATGATATTTCATGCGGACAAATAATAGAGACACTTCAGAAAACAACTGTCCAGGGTAAAGAGGCTGGCAAAAATCACATGGGCAATCATGAAGGCCGGCTCGAACCTGGTGCTTTGACCTGCGGCGCTCGACCGGCTCGAGTTGAGATCGCAGCAAACTGAAGAGAAATGGCGGGACAATATTTTTGAGCGAATGCACATGTTTATATAACATGTTTGAAACCTTGTGCAAATGCACCTTGAGTCTTCCAAGTGGGAGTTGTCTTGGCTTTCTTTTGGTGCCCAGTTGACGTTCATTGATTCAGTGGGTTCACAAGACCCCAATCGAGCAATGTAACTGGCTCGCTGAGGGCTCATGATTTGCTGGTCTACGATTTTTTAGCTGTGGCTGCTGTGGCTGGGAGGAAACATAGAGAAGCATCAGGCACCCAGCAAAAAAATAACGCGATAAGCTAAAAGAAAAAGTCCAAATACAAATAGCTGCATGTTCCTAAGCCAGCTCCTGATCACAGTACCGCCTGACCCGCCCAACAAAGAAAATGCAAAAGGCACGCAGCAACCAGCTATATACACTCCGGCTGATGGGCACAACAGTCCATTGGGTGCCCTAATCTTAACCCCATCAAACATGCAACGGAGCGCTACTACAAACATGAGATAAGGGTATTCAAACAAAGCCCCCTCAAACGGTTCCCCAGGTGTCTACATCCATGATTATTTTGACACATTGCTCGTTGAACCAACTTAGGTAAGCGATTGTTTGATGTGGCCAAGAATTTCTACTCGTGAACCATGTTGTGGCTCATACAATGACCAACCATGACCAATCACATTGCTTTCACCCTTCATCATTGGGTTCATCAGGGTGGCTCCCACAGTCAAGATTGCATCTCAAATCTTCCAAGCAAAAGGCTCGAAGTTGAATGCCCCACTGATTCAAACTCCGGGTGTCATTTGTCTCACCCTCAAAGCACCGACTCCTCAATCCTCAAAACCCAAGAGATTGTAAAGGTTTGCTTCTTCGTTTCTGCCCAAGACTGCCCCTTCCAGCCGTGCAAAGCGGCTCGTGGACATATATTGTAGTTGAGCTCCAATATACAACGAGTTGGCCACCTTGGTCTCCATACATCTGGGTCTGAACCTTCATCCCCTGGCCCGACACACCCGCACTAGTTCGAAGCAATTTGTTCGGGTTTATGGGTTCGCTTGGACGGAGTTCTCCGCGTGGGTTGCAACAGGTTTGGGAATGATCACACGGCTGCTGAAAGATCCAAACAATATGATAAAGATCATATGGTTTGGCGCTTCACAACGCTTTTCCATCGATGGCTTTCCAAGAAAAAGAAGGCATACATAAATGTGACTTTCTGGTGAACACCTCGGTCTCAACCTAAAACCCCCGAACTTTCTACGTCGCTTCACCAGTGAAGTGCTGTCAGGAAAAAACTGACACTGAAGACCTCATTCTCATGGCTCATCATTTCGCGTGGACTTGGTGATTTGGTCAAACAAGTAAAGTATACACACACAAAAAAACATCATTAGGAAAGTGGGTTCTTGTTGGCGGAGCTGGGGATTACTGTTCTTGAACTTTTCCGAAACTGAAGAGACAAGCCATGAAGACACCTCACCAGGCATTGGACAGTCATGAGTCATGTATTATATAGTGACAAACTAGTACCGAAACCAGTGAGCCATGCGGATTTCTTGAAAACCTCGACCTGCAATCAAGGGCCATGCAGTCATGCAGTGGTCATTTCACATCTCCTTACACTTCCAGTTGCCAATATAATTATATAGTGGTCTTTTGCAGGTACACATGTTCCCCTCAAATCACTCAGAACACATCAAATTACATCCAGTTCCCAACAGCTGCGAGTGCTGAAGAGCAGGTCTGCCCGTTTGGGATCACCGCGAAGCCGCCAAGATCACCGCGAAGAACATCTCGAACTTGGGATTCTTCACCTTAGCTGCCGCGAACGACTGCTCGCGGTACGGCGCGAGAAGGACAGGGTGAAAAAGACATGACCTGGTTAGGTGGTTTCAACTCACCAAGATTGTCAATCTAAACTTTTATGTCCAACTTTTACTTGAGATGATTGACAATCATCTCAAGTAAAAGTTGAACACAAGAGTTTATAAAGCCACCACCCAAGACTTGGGGTGCGTTCGGTTTGGGTCAGTCCGGCCAATTCTCAATCCTAGCCAACCCGGCTGCCTACCGGAATAATATGTGGTCTGGACAATGTTTATGCATCATCCTGCAAGGGCCGCAGTTTAAGTGGCAATACTGGTTGATCAATCATATTTTCGTGTAGTGTCACTAATCAAAATAAGCATGGCCAACACCAAAACAATAATAGGTACAACAATTCAAGCAAACTTGAGTGTTCAACTGCAAAGGATGTTGATCTATTTGTTCAAAGTTCTAGGGTATTATACACAGGTATAATATACGTTACAAAATAACTTGCTAGTCAACTTGGAAGTTGCTATATATCAAATGATATAGATATAGATCAACATCCAGTCTGAATTGCGTTTCTATGCTTGCGCAAGTGATTGGATCAACAACTTCGACAACAGTTCCATCATGAATCTAGGAACCAAATGAACAAGCATGAGCATCCTGCCTCCGTTCGCTAGTAGCAGGCTCCCCAGCCCTTACAGAAATTAAGTAGGCACATACTTAATCAAGTAAGGGCGGGCTTTAACGAAAGAAAACACATGCCTCGGCTGAAGAAAAACGCTCCACTAATCCACGGATGCTCCACTCGGCTCCACTAACTAGCTCCGTTATGTTCATTTATTTTCCAGGTCACGATGGGCCGTAGGAAGGACTGGATCTTCTTGTAGCGCGGGCAAACACGATCGAAGCAGCTCTTCGGCTTGGCGTCACCTGGAAAACCGGGCTGTGCAAACCAAGAGAAGCCATGAGTGACGAGAGGGTGACGATCACGACACTCTCTCGTAACCGTAATGGAGATGTGTTGAAATTGTTTGACATGTCCCGTGTGTCCTCCATATTCCATCCATTGAAATGGATGACTACTACCACAGCATACCATGACTACGACCGAAGGATCAGGCACCCATGCATCGGACCGGTCGTCGTGCAAAGGTTTTTGCCGGTCCATGGCGTCACGCACGAAACGACGTGAAACCGACGTGTAGACCGGAAAGCCCAAAGATCCAAATGGTTTAAATGGCTACGAAACGGCGTGAACCATAGGCATGACCGTGAAAATGGCCCTGGGCTGAGCCGAAGGAGGATGTGCCTAACTTCAGCCAGTCATGCCTAGCGAGGCCTAGCGTCCTTTGCCTGACGATCTTCAAGCAGTAGCCACAAAGGGTCTGTACAGTGTTAGTTTGAGGGTTCGACCATGCAACCAAAGATCCACAAAAATGATCGTAGAACCTGGAGGCTGATATTGTAACTCTCTTACACACTCCTTACGCGCATATGCCCCTGCTGCCACCTAAACATGTGGGTAGGCCACTGGTACCTTTCCCATCCGGTTAGTTGATTCTTCTGTGCATACCGACAGGTGCCGCATACCGGGGATCTTGAGAACATGTGACGCAACGATCCGACACGGACATCGAAAAACATCAATCTGGGATCACAAGTCTGCTAGGGATGCACCTCTACAATTCTAAGCATCCTTTGACATGTCTTTGTATGGAGAATCAGCAAGCCTCAGCCCCTGTCTCCTATCGGAAAAGCTATTCAGCTAGTCAATACCTATCCATGCCAAGCAACTCAGCATGCTCTTCGAGTATAGCTCCTGCGAAGCGTCTCATGCCCGGGTCTTGCTCCAAGAAACAAGCGTTGCAACGTTGATCAGGTTGATCTGGGTTTATCTCACCATCCAGAAAAACCTGAGGTTCATCTGCACTTTCCTTCCCCACTACTTGTGCATTTTAGAGTCACTCAAGCAAGTGGATACCAGCGTCCCCAAAGGGACCAGCTCTATAGCTGGTTCACTGGACAAGCAAATCAATACTTCACTCTGGCTCTGGACGCTGTAAATACCTGTAAATAATACTCACACAATGACTGTGGAACCGTACTCGCTTTCTCGATTTTATTGAAGCAACCATATTCTTGGACGCCCTTTAAATGTATAATGTAAACATGTATTGTGGAAAGCAATGTGCGCGTCAACGTCTGCGGCAAAGCGATGTCATCCGTTACCTAAGATTGATGTCATCTGCGGCAAAGCGATGTCCGCCAAACTAACTTCAATCATTCCGATCCAGGTATTAATGATTTTGAGGTGTTCCAGACTTCACATGTGCAAGGCACGCAGTCTATTAACCATGGTGAACTCGGGGCGGCAGCATGGGTGTCTGATTTCTTCTCTCGACAAATACCACGACCGTTTGTTGACCTTCACACTGACTCCCAATTTGTAGTCCGAATCATTCAAACCATTGCCAATCAAACGCTTGACCATAAAACACACCAGATGGCAGACTGCGACTTAGTTCAACAGATTCAGTCCACTTGGGATCCCTTTCACTTTCGAGTATTGAATATTAAATCCCATGTCATTGCAATCAGCCATTTCGGGCAATACAGTTGCTGATGAAACAGCCAAGATCACTAATAAGCAAGACATCACAGCCATGATATCCATCACCGAGAATATTGACCACCACTGCAGACGACAGCAATCAGTCTTGGTAGCCATATACCGCTATTTGCTCGACTTGAATGCACTACATTCCAAAATGTGTCTCGAAAAAGATTAAAAATAATGGAGAGGGTGATCCTAATTCTGGCAATATAGATGATATTTCTCACTATAAACAGAAACTTGTTGACTGGAAAGTCACTGGACCTCTTTGGTCTATGACAGGAGATCTCCTCCCTGTGGTGGCTGATGCATGTCCAGCCGGATATAGGTATGCGGTAGCCGTTTGGCATTTGTTTCAGCAGTTAACATGGCGACACCCGGATTTACCATTGGATAAAGAAGATTTTGGTATTACTTGGTGTGAGCTAGCGCTGCAGTTCACCATTTTTGCAGGCAAATGTCTACCAGTATGGCTACATGATTTCGATAAAGGATATGCAGTCCCTTATGAATTGTCCTCCGAACAAGTTGCACTACAGAAACCGAACAAGTTTCGCGGATTAGGTGATCAAACATCAGCTTTTCGGGCCGTTGTCCTATACCTTGAAAATACTAGTGGGTCACGTCGAGTTCGCTAGTGCGCTGAGGTTTCCACCGAAGCTTGATCGGTGTTGCTGCCCGTCCCAAAAAAAACAAAAAATGATCTCGCGTACGCCACTCTTGCGGAATATGCTTCAGCCCCGGGACAAGTCTATCCTCTTAACATTCGAACACCTTTCACACCTCAATTAGACCATGCCTTGATTAGTGTTGAATCCTCTGATGAGTTGTCATTTGACAAACGCCATAACTTATACCAAAAAGTCAAAAACAGCATTCGTCTGAAACAAGATCTTCGCTTGCTCTCGTGGAACACTTAAATTAGATGCTCTTCGTGTGAATTAATTCACGTGTGCAACTGACTGTGTCTTACACCGGTCTGTGGAACACTGTGTACATTGCATGTTTTGTACAAACCGTACTCATGTGAATACATACCCTAGAGTACCCCACCAAGTGGAAGGCTGTTAGGGGCGTGACATGGACGAGTCCGCAAGTTGGTGTGGTTACCTAAGATCGCTTTTTGGCAGCTCCATGGTGGCTACTTCAGGGCTCCCAGTCCACACCCCTACCCTCCCTGGTGGGGGTATCTCGAAGTAGAGTTATTTGACATAGCTTATGGTGGGCTGCAACTTTCTCGAACTCTCATCACCAATGGAACATGTTTTTCAGCTCTAGCAATCATTGATTGACGTAGAGTCAGTCTGACGTCAAAGCATTCAGAGTCTTTTCGGAAATCCAAGCTGGTGCAACGTCTGGTTGATCAGCATATCACCAAGAACAAGAACAGAACCAACCTCATGAACCAGTCTGACATAGTCTGTGCTCTGAAAAAACAAACAAACAAACCACTTATACTCAACTAAACCAGTCTCTCCCACACGGCTCCTTGCGCACCTCAATCTTTGAGGCCTCTTTCTTGGCCAGGTCATAGCCTGAACGGTACGGAACGGGTCGATCTAGGTGACCCGGGCAGGTCACCCGGTAGTTCGGCAGGTGAGGTCGATCACCCGTTGAGAGCGGGGGAAGTAAAGACGAGCCGGTGTGGAGGTGGGGGGGAGCCATTTCAGGGGGGTTGTTGACTCAACTGACACATGTTCCAGACCTGTTGGAGGCTGGCGAGCTGTTCCAGACCTGCTCTGAAACACATGGGACTGTGGGATCTCTTTAAGGGCAAAGAGAATCATCACCACAGGCAGCTTGCCAGCTTGGGAGTCAAGCTCCGGTGCTTTTCAGACCGGCCGAGTGGCTGGATTCGGAGATGCGCCGCTCCATGCGGAGCTCATGGCTGCCAACACCGTGCCCGGTCTCGTGGGCGACCGAAGGGCTGGCCGTCTCCGGCTCACCTGGGAAGGAGGACGCGATGACGTGAGGGTCATGTATAAATGTATAGCGCGATGCGGTCGAGTCAGTCTCTAGGTGAAAAAGCCACAGCGAGGTCAAGCAGTGGAACGCCACCTCACATGTATAAATGTATAAAACCCAGGACTGGAGGATGTAAAACCTTGCTGGAGAGACGGGGCCCAGCCCAGACCTGAAATCAGCAGTCAACATTGGAACATACAAAAGGAAGCTGTACTCTTTTTTGGTTGGTGAAGCTGCACGGACTCGATTTCAACAAGAATCATCCATGGTGGATAGCACAAAAAGCGAACACATGAGTTGCTTGCATTTGTTTTGTCGCGGCTGGTGTCTCTCTCTATATATGACATGCATATAATGTATTATATACTATACATACAATACACATGTGTGGAATGTACGAAGTTCCCTTTACCTTGCGAAAGTTCCTCACCAAAACCATCCGAAGACAAGATCAACAAAACAAAAGGACATGACAAACAATGACCAAAGCACCCGCAGGAATACAAAAGCACTGCAAGTGACACTTGAAATTTGGATCACAGAAACAATGTGGGAACGATTTATCCTTCATTATTTTGTGTCAGGACGGCCCGCATGATCATCTATACATGTCAAAACTTTGCAGCTTTGTAGATGTAGCTTACCTTGAACTTTGTAGATGTAGCTTACCTTGATGTATCTATATAATCACGGCCATCCCCACATTTACCATCTGACCATGGAACGTTGGTCACAAGGCTGCATAAATCTGGAACTACTCACAGCAAAACAAAGACAAACAACTAAGGATTTGGATAAACAAAAAAGAGAAAACAACAAGTACACCATCATTGAAATCTGAAGATCTATAACTCCCATTCATAGGACCCAAGTGTTTCAGAACTATACCCCCGATGGTCTGCAGTCAAAGGAACTGCGGTTCGTCCAACTCACCGTTGGGATTTTAGCACGGTCCGGCTATAGAACGTAAAACACGGTAAAAAATAACACAAAGAAGTAAAATCAGAGTTAGGCTAGAGCCATGTCAAAGAAACCAAGCAACGCGTGCAACCCTCTGCTCAAGAATATGGAAAAAAAGAGCTGGTCGTCTTAGTTTTCTCCCCTTGTCCGTTCCACTCGGGACATGAACGCATGCTTGCGTAGACACTCTCTTGGCTGGTCGTCTTCATGCTGGCATGGCTGGTCGTCTTCATGATATCCGCCTGAGAACACTTTACTAGGAACAAAGGGCATCGTTACTAGGAACAAGGACGCTACTAGGGCTCCTGGCCCTACTACTAGGAGCAAACACGCTACTAGGGGCTCCTGGCCATACTACTAGGAGCAAGGTCGCTACTAGGGGCTCCTGGCCTTACTACTAGGAACAAGGACGCTACTAGGGGCTCCTGGCCTTATTAAGGACGCTACTACGGGCTCCTGGCCCTACTACTAGGAGCAAGGACGCTACTAGGGGCTCCTGGCCTTACTACT